TATTGGCCTGTGATTTTCATTCATTGTAGTGTCTTTGTCTGGTTTTGGAATTAGGATAAAGTTGGTTTCATAAAATGAGCTTGGGAGGCTTTCATCCTCTGAATTTTTTTAAATAGTTTGAAAATAGGTGTTAGTTTTTCTTTGGATGCTTGGTAAAATTCACCTGTTTCAGCTTCACTAGTTGTAATATCTATATTCAGATTCCCTGATTCTTTTTGATTCAGTTTTCGAATCAAATTTCAGATTTTTCTCTAGCCTCAGCAAGGCAGAGCCACTAAGAGTTGGGCAGGTCAGGCCTCCAGAGGAGCCTGGAGGTTGTGTCTGCCAGAAGCTGAGAGGGTGTTTCTATCAGACCTCCCATAAGGGGAAGAGCCAGTAAGGTTCATGGGAAAGTGGAGGGAATGGCCCTAGTTCCAAAGCCAGGCAACTCAGTCACTGACACCCCCTGAATCTGCCCAGACCTCTACACCCTGACCAAGGCAGCTGACTCTTCAGCAGTGTGCAAGTTCCACAGGGTGGGCTGAGAGGGAGTCCAGAGGGTGGCGCTATTGTTTTCTCTCAGTCTGATTCTGCAGAGGGGAGGGCTCCACCGAAGAAACCGGCATCTGTGCTACTGGAGAATGACTCAGCACAAGGATCCTGAAGGCTGCCTCCCCTAGAGCCACAAACCCCAGACTCTCTTCATGGGACTCTAGTATGCTCTGCCCCTCCCTTAGCCAAAGCCCAGGATGAGTGACTGTGAACAAAATTTTGTGTTTGCCCTTTAAGCAGGTGACTGTGTCTCCAGTGGACTTGATCTCTCCCTGACAGGCAGAAACCTTGCTGCTTTTTGCAGCTGGATGCTCTGTGAGTGCCTCTTCCCAGCTCTGCTGCTCTGGGGTGGGGAGCCTGGCTTGGGGTTTAGACCCCATGCTTCTGAGGGGGAACCCCTGGCAGCTGAGCTATCCTTCCAGAACCTCAGCTGCCACCCATGAGAGCAGAGCCAGCCCTTATCACGTCTCTGTTCTTTTTACCAGTCTCACTTGGCTTCTTCTGTAAACCCAGCTAGTCTTCAGTTGGTTATTCAGGATGATTGTTTTTTAATTTAGTTGTAATTCCAGTTTGGTCCTGGTAGAACATGAATGTAGCTTTCACCTACTTGCCTCTATCTTGAAAATCTTTATATTTTCAAATAAAATTTAAAGACTTGCTTTTCAGATTTAAAAGAATAATAAATAAATAAATACACTAATTACTCTATTTCTAGTAGTAAAGAAAGCACTGACAGTCCATGGTGGGATATGGCAACAAAAATATGCAAAATATCACAATTGGATAATCTTATTCAAACACTATAGAATCTAAGTGACCATGTATGATACCTTTGAACATTTTTGTCAAGTTAAAAAATGTAATGACATTGTCTGGTTGCTCCTAATTTCACTAAACAGTGAAGAAAGAAAAGGTTGAGCTCTGGAATTTAAATTCCTAGCTCATTTGTGACATAAATGACCTGTAAGCGTCTCTGTCTGCCCTGAAAAAAGCCCCCATCTCCCATAAGCACAGGCCTAGGAATCCTGAAAAACAAACCCAGAATCTCTTCCTGTGAGTGACTGAATTATTATGCAAATTGAATTCCTGGACTCAAGAGTTATTTACTATTAAAGTGGGGGCATTAATTGGGAAGGATTATCATCCTAAAATTTGGAATGGGGACATGTGGGAGGACCATCATGAAGCTGGGCACATTAAACCCCTAAATTTTTATGAGTCATCTTTGCCAGTAGAAGCATCCTCTCCACCCCCATCTGAGATTAACCCTGAGGCAGTTGCCATGCAAGGCAATGCTGATTCCCCTCAGGGCTGACCACCACCACTACTCTTTGCTACTAGACTAACAACTAGGCTCAAGGCCACTAAAGGTGAGGTACAAAGCATGACCCATGAGGAAGTACACCATACTCCAAAAGAATTGTTTGAGTTTTCTAATTTATACAAAATTCCTGGGAATATGTGTGGGAATAGATACTAAAGATTTAGGATAATGATGAAAGGAACATAAAATTATATCAGACCAAATTTGTTGATATGGACCCACTAAGAAGAGATTCTGCATTTAATGTTGCAACTCTCAGGGAGTTAGAAAGGCTTGAACAGTATGCTTGTTTGGTTGGTTGGCTGGTTGGCTTAAATGTAGACTAAAAGGTGGCCAATGAGTGAGCTAGAAATGCCAGACCTGCCTTGGATTACTGTAGAGGAAAGAATTGAAAGGCTTAGGGAGCTAGAAATGTTAGTGTGAATTTGTCATTTAAGACCTACTCACCCACCTTGGGAGGGTCCAGGAATGCCATTCAAGCCCTACTTCACATTTTGTGTTCCCCCTAAAAATTCATATGTTGAAGTTCTACCCACCCACCCCCAGTACCTCAGAATGTGACCTTACATGGAGATTGGATTCTTACAGAGGTAATCAAGCTAAAATTCAGTCATTAGAGTAAGACCTAATCTGATATGACTCATGCCCTTATAAAAGAGGAAATTTGGACACAAAAAAACACACAGGAAATATGATGTGAAAAGACACAAGGAAATGATGGCAATCTACAAACCAAGGAGCTAAACCTGAGGCAGATTTTCCCTCCTAGTCCTCAGAAAAAAACAACTCTACCCACACTTTTTTTTTTTTAATATATCTTTATTGATTTCAGAGAGAGGAAGGAAAAAGGAGAGAGATAGAAACATCAACGATGAAAGAGTCATTGATCAGCTGCCTCCTGAGAGCCCCCCCACCCCCACCCTGAGGATGGAGCCTGCGACCTGGGCATCTATGTGCCCTGACTGGGACTCGAACCAGGATCTCCTGGATTCTAGGTTGATGCTCAACTGATGAACCACCCTGGCCGGGCTCTGCCTACACCTTGATTTCAGATTTGCAACCGCCAGAACAATGTAGTTCTGTTGTTTGAGCCACTTAGTTTGTGGTGCCTTGTTATGTAAGCTCTAGAAAACTAATATATTAAGCATCCAATAAATGCTACTTTTGGTATAACTGCTGCATTTTGAAAAGAGTAGAATCATAGAAAACCTGTCAAATTCATTGAAAGCTTTTGTATGTCCAGTAAAGCAACTGCCCACCACTGGTATCATAAATGCACTACTTTTATATTCAGGAATCAGCAAGCATAGCTTCTTGCTAGCTTACTAAATGTTTTGGTTGTCCACTTATCTCTGTCATCTATAACTCTTCTTATTTTAGATAGGATTTGCTATCTTTTTTCTTCTTGGTTTCTAGTTTACCTTATTTAAACCAATTAAAATTTCCCAAAATCACAAATAAAAACAAGGTTTGTTAATTCCATCATCTAATTGGTTCTTTAGACAAAGTTTAACATAATAAAAATTTCCACTTATTTAGGAATAATACATGTACACGTTTGAAAGAATGACATTCAAGCTCTCCTTCACATTTTTCTCATTTTCTATTGATTCTTCAGCATTTTGGGTGTGATAAAGATACACACTGAGAATCTGTACTTCAAGAGAAATATCTTGAATTGCCTTCTTAGAACCCTTCCTTCTTCATCACCAGTTGAAGCTTTGGAAGGACGCAATCTGTTTCTTAAGTGAAATTATAAGATGTTTCCTCCGAGCCTCCTTCTAGACAGCTTTTCAACTCAGCTCTTTTCTTACATCCCTCTCAAATCTGAGCTGGCAAAGGATTAATTTCTATCTACTCTATTTGTGAAAACAGAATGACTATATCCTCGTGTTTTTGAAAGTGGTTAGCAGAGTACCATTAGAAGTCCTAACTAAGCTTTATTAATCCACAAGCTGGAATCACATCTTATAAAATGTTTTAAAAATACATTTCTAAGAACCCTGATCTCCACCTCCCAATAAATATTGAATAAGAGGCTACCAAAAACCACAAGATCCATGTAAATAAAAATACAGGATGTCCCAAGGCTTAGTGAGGTTCTGAGCTTTAATAAACTCAGAAGTATAAAGGTTACAAACTCACAAGCTCATCATTTGAAAAATTACATGTATTGCCCTCACATTTGTTTTTAACTTTGAAGAACAAATTTCTAATTTTAAGTTTTTCTTTCAGTCACTGTACAGATAAAATTTTAAAAATTACATAAAAATTATTATTCAAGATACACAATTCTAAACAAGTACAAAAGAAATGAAAATAAGTTTTCAAATGGTATCTCTCTTACAATTGTAAGCATTTATATTTCTGGGGTTATAAAAGCCTTAAGACCTCACAAAAACTTTTGGGACAGGTTATTAATTCACTTTTTTTCTCTTTCACAAGTCCTTTTCTCCAATATGATCATATAATTTTTGGTTTCGTAGTAGGAAAACGTTTACTTTTCAGTTTGAAATGTAGTACATAGATGATTTTGTAGTTTCCAATTAAAAGACATTGTTCAGCCACTGCCTTGCATGATAAAACAATCCGTCTCTTTCCACATCACATCAAAGTGTATTTCTATTGGAATTCCTCTAACATACTTACCACCAAATTGTTCCCCTGGGACTTCACTGAATTTGTTTATACTTTATATCTGTTATTATCGCTGAAGGCCAAGCTTAAAATCTAGGTTAAAAAGAAGACAATGTGAGGTTTCTTCCATAAAGAGTACTGAAAAAGAGATCAAAGGCACAATTTCACTCCTCAGTCTGTGAAATCTAACTTAGTTTATAATTAAAGAATGATTTTAATTGTCAAACTTTTAAATTTTATTAAATGTTTGTGGCAATGCATCAAATGAATTCCAGACCTATATAAATACACAGGCAGCGGTTTGCAATTTGCATCTTTATCGGTTGTGAAAGAGGACAATGTACTTCCTGCGTCGGAATTTGCATTTATCACCTTTGGCTACCCAGTATATAGTAGGGGAGTACTTGAATATCTCATTCTTTGAATTTTCATTTTTGATTATAAATCAAATGATGTCTGGCACTTTTCTCTTTTTTTTTTCTTTTTTCTCTTCTCTCAACCTCCAGGTTTACTTGCTCCCATTTCTTCTTGGCTCTAATAAAACACAAAAAATATTTCAATTATTTTTTTTCCCAGCATTCTCCAGGGTACCAACATTTTGCATGTCTTTTGCTAATTACCATAAATCTAAAGGCAAAACCAAAACTAAGCTATTGTTTTAATTCATAAATTTCCAAAATGCCTTTCAAACTAATTCCACTTCTTTCTGAAGTTTACTGTGTTTTGAATTTGGATGGAGGGCTGGAAAGGAATGGAAATAACACTATAGATAAAGGCTGCACCGTGGAGCACCCAGAACGAACAGAATGAATGTTCCATCCTATGGAGTCAGGTTCCTCCAGTCGCACCAGCTACATCCGCTATCACAAAGGACATGCGGTCCGAGGGAGGCTGGCAATGCTCACAACATCTCTGATTGCCTTCAGTAACTTCCCTCAATTCCTAACACACATTTTCCTCTCCTACTGCATTATCCTCATAGCATCTAGTGACATTTTTTCCCAAAAGCCTCCTCTTGCCCATTTACATTTCTGTGGCCTTGGCATGCAGATATTTCTTAGAGGAATAAACTAGTGGCAGCTTGTGTTTTCTGTTTCCTGTTCCCATCAGTCCGTCAGTCCACTGGGAAATGCTGAAATCGCACCTCTGGCCCTAGCAGGAAGTGCTGGGGAGGGAATCCCATCTAATCTTTCTGTCTCTTATTCTGGTGATGAAAACAACTGGAAAGGATAAGAGTTTAGGGGTTACAAATTTCCCAATCAAAAGCTTGGGTAAAGAAGAAAGCTAACTTTATTTTGTTATTACTGGTTTTGATTTTTTTATTGTAGGTCCCCATTCTGCCTGATGTAGAAAACTTACTGGTCCTCTGCACAAAAACTTAATTGAGTTCAGTGATTTCTTTCTTTTTTTTTTTTTTTTTTTAATATATCTTTATTGATTTCAGGGAGAGGAAAGGAGAGGGAGAGAGAGAGAGAAACATCAATGATGAGAGAGTCATTGATCAAGCCCACAACCCAGGCATGTGCCCTGACCAGGAATCGAACCCCAATCTCCTGGATCCTAGGTCGACGCTTAACTGTTGAGCCACGCCTGGCCGGGCTCGAATTCAGTGATTCTTAGTTAATTCACATTTATGTTTCAATCACATTCAGATTTGAAATTCTTTCTCAGGGTTTTTCTCCCTCCAGCACCTCCCTGCTGCTTATCCTAATTTCTAGGGTTGGGACAGGGGAGAATGGTTGCTGCTGTGTGACAACTAGGAAGAAAATACCATCTCAAAAGTTTTGTACCGCAACAAGGAAGGCCTGGACCACGTGCTGGTGAATGGTGGCCCAGTCAATAGACTCTAAGTTTCCTCAGTTTTGAATGTGCACCCTAATCACCTGCAGATTCTGATTCAGCAGGTGTGAGATGGAGATTCCACATTTCTAGCAGGTTCCTAGGTGACGTCATTGCTGGTGGCCCTCAGATCATGCTTTAACTAACAACGGTTTGATTGGTGGACAACAGCAGAGCAGTCTGTGGAGATTCCAGCTGAGCCCTCCCTTCCAACTGCGCCTAACCAAAAAGGCATCTTCCTGTTGCTGTCCCCTCAGTCCCAGCCAGGAGGCTCTGTGAAGGCCCATTTTTCCATTCTGCTAGGAACTTACTCTTATTGAAGCTCACAGGAGTATGTGATGCCCTCCCAAGCAAACGGTGGAGTTTGGAAATCTCAAGAGGCTGTCTCCAGCGCTCTCACGTTAGGCAGGGCTTGCCCTCTCCCCAGCCCCATCCCCAGAGAAATTCACTCCAAAGCTTTCCCCCCTAGGTTGCATCTGGCAAGTGCAATGCAGGTCCTCTTTATGCGCAGATCTTATAAACTTTAAGGGGAATTCTGTCACTGATCTTTCTACACCTGGAGCCTGGCATAGCTGGAAGGTGGGAGAAAAGGAGAAGGGGCCGAGTGAGTGGCCCTGCGCTGTATCTGGTCTCTTGCGGCTTCTCCATACCCTCCCTCCTCATTACTCTCCAGCTTGAGAGAAAAAAGTGGTTTTGTCAGCTCACACCCCATGTCGCATCCACTTTCCTCTGCTATACATGGATGGTACATGTTTCTTGGTCTGAAGTCACCCCTCCTTCTCCCAAATCCTTCTGTAATTCATGTTGAACTATCTGGGATGGGAGGGAGAAGGCTGCTGGGACACCAGGGCAGTTACTGGGATGGGCATGGGTGAAGGGTACATCCGTTAATACTCTAAATAATATCCCACCCACGAGGAAACCACGGGAGGAAAAGATGTGGCTCGACAATTTGTGGTTTTATCCAGGATTTCCATTGACTTTTCACTTCCTTCCCCCTAACATTAAGTGCCATCACATGTAAAAACCCACACGAAATTAAGAGAAAATATAGTCAATTAAATTGTGCTGCAGTAGAATTTTCTTGCAGTTCAATATGTTGGGGGAAGAAATGGGAAAAAAGAAAAAAATTGACTCCACTACATAAATATATATACAAGATATATATACAAATCTGCATACTATGCCACAGTTGTAGTCAATACTGATTTCTCTTTTTTTTTTTTTTTACTTTGGAAAGGGGACAGTTGCTAGTCTGGGTATGTTCTGGTTCATTCTGGGAAGCTCTTGTATAAGAGCTTATGAATTTCAGATGATTCTGAAAGTTCAGGCTACTGATTTAGGTAGGAACTCCCTGTCTTGAACTTTTTCTGAAGGGTTCGATTTTCTGAAAAGTAACTGAAACCATTTCACCCTGTGTGGTTTTCCAAACCTACTGAGCCAGTCCCAGGATTAGCTGGGAGAAGACACCAAGGTTTTTAGTAAAAGAACTATCTGAGGTTGGGTTTGCTACAAACCTCTACCCTGGGGAGGTTCCCAGGATCCCCCACCCTCCCAAAGAAAAGAGCACAAGAAGGAGACACAGTCACTATGAACCTCCTGGCCTGCAAACCTCATCTTAGAGGCCCTATAATCTCCACCAGTCAATATTTGTCCATGGTGACTAGAGTAGGGCTTTAATATTTTGTGTCAAAATATGGTTTTATATATTTTGCTTTGTGGTTTGACAAAGAACACATCTTAACATATGATATAATCTGGCAACCACTATGCTTGTAGCTAAGGAGAGAAATATGCCAAAATATTTCTGATAACATGTAAGAGTAAGCAAAGGAGAACACAGTAAAACAAAGCAAAATTAAATTGCTGGTAGAAAAATAACTATGAAACTCCAAGTAATTATGTTCATATATATCATAAAATTTTCCTAAATTTCCTAGAATAGGAGCTTAATAAGTTCCTTGAGCTTAAAGACTTGTCATTCAGCTTTAGAATTGTATAATGCATTAAAATCATTAGTAAATATTTACCTGTATATATCTTTTCAGTTTTTGAATATGCTTTTGAAAAAGGAATTCTTTTTCGCCAGGCTGAACCATTATATGATGTTGACATATATTTATCTGAGAAAAAGAAGAAGACTGGAGTTAAATATTGTATAACTCTGAAACCATATTCTAGAGTGTTTCAAATTTATAAACAACTCAGAGGTGAAATTATTCTCTAAATTCATTTTACCATTTCAAAGCTAAGGGATCAAGAAGAATTTATTAAGACTAAGCTATCAATGAACATGGTTACACGTGCTCTTAATTGGCTGTCCAATTTCTCAAATAAGGCTAAGCTAGAGGAGAAAACGGTATCTGGATGTGATAAAAAAAAAAAATTCTTTGCCTTATTTAATTATGATTTTACATGTAATTCCGCTAATATTTGTAGAAAAGAAAGGAAGGAAAGGAAAGAAGAAGGA